GAGTAGTGTGGGTTGTTGGTGAGGTCCTGCTCAGACCCTAACTCCTCCATTCAGAGAAATTGTAACTTCAGCCTTGGAACCTGGCTTCCGTGGGTCATGGCCACAGGCAAGTCCTGCCCTGCACTGTCTTCCTCTCGTCTCCTTATGACCAACAGATGAGGCCTGACCACCTATTTCCAGAGCCTCAAAAACCCTGAACTTTTCTAGAAGTATGAAAGGGCTGAGGCTTTCTTGCTTGGTCCCCTCAGAAAAGACCTCATGAGCACAGGGGTTACCCCGAGGAATTGTTGATTCCAATTAACCTTGTCTAGGGCTCACCCCTATCTAAAGACCTTCCTGGTCCTACCAGATTTGAATATTCCAGTGACAGGGCAGCTCAGACCACACACCATGAAATGGAAGAAAGCACACCTTTATCTCTGCCTCATCCTCCCAGGATCGAACACCACTGCATATGGCTGACGTCCACAGTGGATGGCCCAGAATTTTCTGGTGAACACAATCCCCAGTGCAGCATCGCAGGTCCCCAAAGGGCGATGCTGGAGTCCACTAAGGGTGGGGTTGGGAGACAGGGCCCAGAGGCTGAGGAGCAGTGCAGAGAAAAGGTGTAGGTGAGCCCCGGAGTATGACATGGAGACCCCGCTGTCTCCATGCAACAGCAACTGCCAAAGGCCCCTGCTGTGGCCACTCCTGGTCCCAGCTACAAAGCCGACCCGAAGGCGAGGGCAGTTCCCAGGGTGAGCTCCCACCAGCCGCTGGCAGTGGTAGCATAAACACATCTGAAAATGGGGTGTGCCTGGTGACCGAGCCAGGTCTTCTCTAGGCTGGGAGTTGCCCAGGGACAAGGGTGAGTTGATGAGGGAGACTTGAGTCAGAGGGTAGCAGGGCTCAAGGATATTAACTGGGCCCAGGAAATAAAGTTTCCAGAGACACGGGGGAACTGCTGAGAAAGGCAGGGAGCAGTTGCTGGACAGAGAGAGGATACTGAGGACAAAGAGAAGAGAGAAGGGGTGCAAGAAACAGAAACAGAGACAGAGGAGCCTGAGGCTTGTTCTCTTGTCTTCCCCCACCAGCTTTGAGAGCTCTGGGGTATGAGGTCCCCCAGTTTTCCTAGCCAGGGAGGAAGACAGGACTCTCTGCAACCAGGCTTCTCCCCCCCCCCCCTCACATCAGCTCACTGAGGCTTGGGAACCAGGTCCAGACCAGCCCTACTTTTCCCACCTCTACCCCAGCCGGGTCTGGGCTCCAGCTCACCCTCTCCTCTGGGGGACTCCTGCCCCAGCTTGCCCACATCAGTCCTTTCACACCTAACACCAGGTGGCTCTTCCCTGAAATTCCCATGAATCACAGGTTATTAACTGTCCCCAGGGCCTCATAAACAGGGAGGGAGAGGAAGGGAAGGGTAGGGTGGGGTGAGGCAGGGCACAGCAGGAACATACAACATCTGCACAGCCAGCAGCACAGAATGTGCCTGTCTCTGGGACCTAAGTACAGAGAGAGTCTGAAGAGAGATGTTTAAGAAGTCTTTAATTTTAAAAATAGTGTGTGCCTGTGCATAAGGTCTTAAAGGATCTTTAATTCATCATCTCCAAACTCTGTTTAAAATGTTTTTTTAAATTGCACTAAATTACTCCCTATAGCAGAACCACTTTAAGTAACCACAATCTACAACTGCCGGATTTTAAATTTCTTCCATGTTCCTTTTCTGACTCTAGGAAGGAGGAGGAGACCACGAAGTTGTGGGTTTCACAAATCAGGCAAATTCACCTACAGGAGCATCTATAATTATAACATCAGCTGCTCAAGGCGTTCTGACTCAAATGCCTACAGGCACCAGACAAACATAAAGGAGGTTCAGAAACTCTTGGGGTGTTTGGAGTCCTGGGGGAGGGGTGTAGCTCATGAGAACTGAAAAGTGAGACCCTGGCAACAGGTGACAGCAGCTCTTTAGCTACAGCAGAAACTCAGCAGTTGCCCCTGTGTGGGCTTTTCATTACAAGAAGAAAATAAGCTGGCATCTTTAAAGGTAGCTATCTCTTGATTTTTAAATTTTAGCTCAAAAACAAAACCAAAAACCACCCCATGGATTAAACAAAATATGTCTCATGACTAGTTTCTAGTTTGGTTTTATGAAATTTTAGAAGGTCTGAGATTTTAAGAATTCTAGGATCGTTTATTTCCATGATGTGGAAACTTTAATAATGTGCGTTGGAAACCTTAATAATGCGCATATAAATGCTCTAAGGGAACTAAATAAAACGCAAATCCTGTGTCAATAAGTACAGGTCTGAGAATCTCCATTTTATTTTTTTAAGATTTATTTATTTATTTTTGCATAGAAGAACTGGGGTGTAGGCCAGAGGTTTTGGGGGTGGTGGTGAGAGGACCCACCAGAGCCAGAGTGGGAACAGAGCCGCCAGGTCTACTGAAATACACTGCTGAGGGGAGCAGCGGGTGAGACAGGACAGGTCTGCCGCACTGAACCCCTGTGGCGGATACTCCCCCAGCCTGGGCTCACTCTATGAGGCACCGGGACTTCTGGCTTGGGCGGGAGGTTCTGCAGCGGCATCTGGCCGCCAGACTGGGCAAGAGGTGCCTGCCCACCGCGTGCGCCTCCCAGAGCTGTGTAGCCCCGGTAGTCAGTTGGGTGTGGGAGCCAGGGGACAGCACCTGTAGGCGCCGACATCACTTTCCAGAGAACTGGCTGCGCCTCGCCTTCGCCAGCTTCTGGCGCCGCTCGGGGGGAATCTCCTGCAGACTGATGCCGTGGTTGCTGGCCCTGCGGAAGGCGGAGCGCAGTAGTCTCAGGGAGCGGAGCTAGGGCAGGGCCCTGGACAAGATTACTTCTCCCCATTGGGGTGTGGCGGGGGGAGACGCAGGGCGCGAGGCAGGGAGAAGGGTCGAGGGCCGCCCCGGCTGTACTCCCTAGCGTCCCCTGCCTGCGGATGCGGGAGCCTCACCCTGCTTGCAGGTCAGGGGGTTTGGGGATGGGCTTGTTGAAGCCGTGTCTTCCCACTAGCCAGTACGTTTCCTCTGCGCCCTTGCCCTGGGAAGACACCCGAGAAGGGTGCGGTCAGGAGGGCTATCTCCGGGGCTAAGAGGACCGGGAGACCCCGGTCAGGCATGCAGGTTGTCTGCTAGGCCCAGTCCAGCAGGGGGCGGGACCGGCCTCACCTTCAGCTCCGTGCGGCCTCGCACTTCCACCTGGAAGCCCTGGCCCAGAGAGCGGAGAATCCGCACGGTACTCAGGTTCACGTGGATGCGGTAGGCTGAGACAAGCGGAACGCTGAGGGCTCGGGCTCATCTCCCGAGTCCTGCCACCGGCCCATTCCCCGTTCGAGCCACCAGAGGTCGCCCCACCTCCCCTAGCCCTTCGCGCTCCCCTCACACTCACGCAGCCCGGTGGATTCCATGCGAGAGGCAGTGTTGACCGTGTCCCCAAATAGGCAGTACCGTGGCATGGTGAGACCCACCACACCTGCCACGCATGGGCCTGCGGAGATGTTCCGAGTAGGTATGGGCGGGAGCCTTGGGGGAAAGGTCCTTGGGGGAACTTTAGCACCCCCTAATCTCCTCCAGCATCCCATAGAAACACTCACGAACGTACCCTCTCAATGCAACAGTATGCCTAGTATGCAAAGGTGGCTTCAATGTAAGTCCCCCCACTCCACGAGGCCACCGCCTGTGTAGGAAGCGTGGCACCAGGCCCTAAGGAGGGAGAAGGGCTGGGTCCCCGCGGGCCGGGGAGTTACCCGAGTGCAGGCCGATGCGGATGCGCACGGGAACTTCAGGCATGTGTCGCATGCGGAAGGAGCCCACCGCACTGAGAATGTCTAGAGACATGTTGGCGATCTCCGCAGCGTGACGCTGCCCATTCCTCTGCGGCAGCCCAGAGGCCACCATATAGGCGTCCCCAATAGTCTCCACCTGGGGAAATGCAGAACTGGAGCACTCCTCGGCCACAATGATTGTGCCTTGTCAGGAGGCCTAAATGGGTTAGTTAGTTAGCGCTCCTAGGGAGTCTTTCAGATGGGGGGGCTGGACTAGGGACTGGCTGAAGAGATAAGGAAGAAGAGGGGAAGGAGGGAGATTGGGCAGGTGGCCTAGAGAAGTTAGGCTGGGGGCTTAATAGAAAGGCCTGGGCTAGAGACTGGGGACGCTTGAGGGGGACTTACTCCCTACACACCCCACCTTGTAGACATCATGGGAGCCAATGATGGCATCAAAGAGCGTGTAGAGGTCGTTGAGCAGGTCCACCACCTCGATGGGCTCACTCATGGAGGAGATGGTGGTGAAGCCCACAATGTCACTGAAATACAGTGTCACCTCCTCAAAGTACTCGGGTTCCACAGGCATCCCCATCTTCAGCGCCTCAGCCACAGACCTGGGGATGGCAGGCGGTGAGCTCCAGGGCTGGGTTCCAGCTGCCCTGTCCTCCCCACCCACTTCCCCACTGGCACCCACGGAGGCAGCATCTGCGTGAGGAGTCGATCTGTTTTCTGCTTTTCTAGTTCCAGCTCCTCGGTGCGTTCCCGGATCAGGTCCTCTAGGTTGCTGGAGTACTGCTCCAGCATCCGTAGCATGGAGTCGATGATATTGGTCTTCCTGCCCTTGTTAATGCTCTTAAACTAGCAGGAAGGAGAAGCGGATGAGGCTTCAGGGGACCTGGGCAGCCAAACACCTTTCATGGGGCTGTCGTGTGCCTGATCCTCCCTCCCCACCCCGCCCCCGCCCCGCCTTCATTCCTCTTCTACTCATCAAGCATCCTCAGGGGCTGGCCACTGTGTTTCAGACATTGTAAGTAGGCACAGGGAAAAAGGAACTCGACCCCTCACATCTTCTGGTTCTACAGAACTGCAGAACCAGCCCAGCTCTTTAGACTCCATCTGTCTTCCCTCCCTCCTACACCCCCCCGCACCCCAGGCCAAAGTGGTCTTCCTGCTGCACTAGGCCAACCACATAGCTGGTTCTTAATAAATGTTATTTGAGTTGAATTAAAGATTTCTCTTACCCAGAGCATCGTCTCCTGCCCCAAAGGCCTTCCCAGACCTGTTCTAATTCTGCCTCCAACAAGCCCCCTGCCCCCATCATCACACTACTTAAGGAGTAGCCTGGAAAGTGAGGTCCTGACCAGCTTCCTTCCTGCAGCCTCCCCAGTGTGCTGACAAGCCCAGTCCCTACCCAACCCCAGTCCCTGACCAGGTCAAAGGTGCGATCCATGGAGGGTCGAAGGTCCGGCTGTTCTGCCCAGCACTGTTTCATCAGCTGAATGCATTCTGTGGGCGCCTGGTCCATGGTCACCAAGGGCCGGCACAGGGGAGGGGGGCTCTGTACCCTCCGCACCACTTCTGGAGGCATGAGAGGACTTAGAGGTGGTGTCCAGAGCAGAGCCACCTCTGACTCTGGCCTGACTGTTGAAGTCCAAGGTGGGGGGATTGGAAAGGGACCCTTTAAATTATCAGCATTTCACTGGGTGGGGAGCACAGTATGGAAAAAGGTTGCTGGGAGTAACAAGAGGACCCTAAACCCTGGGAGCAGGGGAAAGTAAGAGACGATGGGAAAAGACACTAACATTTATTACACATAAGAAATGTGAGAGTTCGAGTGACCAAGCAGCTTGCTAAATCCTCTAGGCAAATAACATGGATTTGAAACAGATCCTACCACTCTTAATTCTCCATTCCACCCACACTGCTTCCTCCCTGGGGCCCCAGAGAACCAGAGAGGAGACTACTATGTTGGCTGAGAGAGCAGGTTGGGTTCTGGATCAGGAAGGAAGAATGAATGGAGATGTGGACTAGGAAGAGTCACCTTCCTGTCCTGAAGGTCACTACCACCCTGATGCTTTTGAGCCTCACTTTAAGGGAGACCCAAATACTTCACAACACAGGACGGTGGGTTAATAGAGGAAAGAGGCTTTGCTAATAGGAGGTGCCTTTCGATCCCAGGGATGAGATGGGGCTACCATACCCTCATGGGTCAGCTCCAGCATGGCGTAGGGGGTGCTGCGGCAAACCACCTCTTGCATGATGATGCCCAGGCTGAAGACGTCACCCGCAAGCGTTCCCCGGCGTTCCAGGGCTGGGTCCCGAAGCAGCTCTGGGGCTGTCCACAGCTGGTCTGGGGACAGGGGAGGGGGTGTGCGCAGGTGGAAGACCTTGAGGATGCTGGGACAAACCTTCATCCTTACAAGAAAGCCCAAGCTCGCCACTCACTACCCTTCCCCGCCCCCCACCTTTCACCCATCTGGAGTCTACCCCCAAACCTGCAACTATTGGCTGAAAAAGCTATCAGAAACCAAAAGCCGGCTTCAGAGAAAGCCCGGCCCTCACAAACATCAATAGGTCCTGCCCTTCAGGCAAAGTGATACCCAGGAAAGTCTCCTCTTGGGCACAAACCATGCCCTTAGGTCAAGTCCCACTTAAAGTGCCCTGGGGCCCTAGAAGGGGCTCCGCCCTCCACCTCCCCTCCCCACTCCCAGAGCCAGGCCTCCTCATCTCAGAGACCAAAAGACCTTTCTGTAGCAGCAGTCACATCCAGAGAGTGTATAATGGAGAGAGAACGAGGGCGGAAGGAAAGGAGGAGTTTGTGAAATAATGGGGATCCGGGAGAGAGTCTCAAGTCCCTCCAGAGGCAAGGGGAAATCCTACCCTGCGCACTAGGAGGCTCTGGTAACACCCTCTGTGCCTCCAGCAGGCGCCCGTGGCCATGGTCAGTGACTTTAAGCACGAACCTCCCGTCCACCACGCAGTTGCGTGACTTCAGCCGCCCGTGAGCCACGCCTCGATGGTGCAGATACCTCATTCCCTGGAAAGGGTGGGTCAGAGGCAGCCTGGGCCCTCGTAGTTCCCTTGCGTTCCCCCAGCCCCCTCCTGCCACTACACCTTGATGAGATCCAGGAGGAGGGAGGATTTGAACATCCAGTCCAGCTTTAGGTCTCTCTGGGCGAGGAGGTCGTGGAGGGAGCCCCTGGCGTAGTGCTCGGAGACCACGGCCAGCAGGCCTTGCCCGAGGGCCACGGTGCTGTCTGCTCTGCCCGCCAGGAAAAGCCCCAGGTAGAGGGCCACGTTGTCATGCCGCAGCTCGCGGAGCTGAGAGGGGAGGTTAACAGCATGAGTACCCTCCTAATGTGCACGGGCTTGGGACAGCGCTAGCCCGGGACTGGTGCTCTTTCTAGTTTTTCTTTAGTCCACATGCCCCATAAAGGGCTTCATTACAGTTCATAAACACCTGCTGTTAAAGGTCGACTGACAAGGCAAGCAGTCCATTTAAGTCGTTCTGCATTTGTGACCAAGAGTCCCTGTGGGGACGCTGGGAATGGAGACCAGGTCTAGCTTGCATGGTATTGGGGCGGAATGAGACTTTATGTTTGAAAGGACCAGAATACGTCAGCTTACAGCTTCCTTGATAACTTTCCTCTTCCCTCAGTGAGCATCGACTAGGCTGCTCTGTACAAGTGACCTAACAGAGCTGAAAACTCTTTTTTTTTCTATTATTCACTCAACAAACATGCATTGAGCCTCTCTAATGTTCCAGACATTGTGCTGGGTGCTGGAAATACAATACAGACAGCAGAGGAAGTCCCTAACTCAGCTTGCAGACCAGTGAGGGAGGCAGATAAGAAGTAAGCAAACACATGATCGTCCAGTTTAAAATTATGACAAGAATACCAAAAGAAAAGAACTA